ACAAACAAATTCAAAATGTCAAAATGGGAGATACCAGCAGTTCAAGGAAAGATTAATTAAAGCTTGCCAAGCAGGGAGAACTTGACTACAGAATAGGAAAGGGTTTTTCCTCCTCATCCCACCACATCTAAACATTCACACAAGAACATCTGAAGTTCTGTTCAGCCTCTGAGCGAAATGCAGCAGAGCCCATAAACCACTGTGCTCTACAATTTCAGTACACGTTCAAACACTCCCTCTTAACTACCATTAGAAGAAAGTTAACAGTTTGATCAGATTCCTTGACCATGTCTACACAACACTTCCTCAGTAGTTTGTAGGAAAAAATCCCCATCATCATGGATTACTACTCACCTGTAAAAAATGAATTTCCGATCTATGTTCCCAGTCTTTGTAGTATCCTTGCCATATTTAGGAAGAAGTGAAAGAAGCCCTAGATAGGACAATTCTGTTATCCCTTTCCTTCCACGTTGGATTGTTTCAGTGACCTAGAAGTTAACTAAACCATGCTGAGGAGCAATGAAGGCAAAAGACCATGTGGGGTAACTGTGAACCCACTACTACATGTGTTGCATTTGGGCTCCCATATAACCTATGTACTGAAGTGAGACAGCAAATAGTTCACCAGGGAAGCAAGTAATTTCTTTCATACAGTCTCCAGTTCCACCTGGGAATCCCCATACTAACAACTTTTCACATCAGACTGCTAGGACCTCAATCATTTTAGACTTAAAAAACACCTTTAAGAAGCTAAGCATTTCCCTGCACTAATGAATGTTAAATAACCATAGAACTATCTAACTAAGACTATTTCCCGTTTAACAGCTTGACATCCTTCAACTAACATCAGTGATCTACCTTGAAAACTATCTCTGAGCTCTAAATTTTAAGTGATTCAGGGAAACAGAGCTTCTAGTCTATTTGCATGAATGTTATTAACATCCAGAGTAGCTCCAATGGTTCATCAACTGCTTGTCACTAGCTGGACTGAAGTAACTGGTGCAGGTGGCTGTGTCAGAGATTAAAAACCAGCATGGCCTAGACCTTACACTGCTAGGGCTACATCTTTGTAGTCCTCTGCTGGGCTCTCTCCAGTAGTTCCTGGTCTCTCCTGAACTGGGGAGCCCAGAACTGCACACAGTACCCCAGATGTGGCCTCCCAAGGGCATAGTAGGCACCTTCACCCACACCATGTGGGTCAAATCAGGCATGGACAAGGAGTTAGAAGTCAGACTACACAGGCACTTAACACTCATTTCGAGTGGCACACTATGACCAAAAGGACTTGCTCATCTGATCAACAAACTAGAATGAAGAGAATTTACTTCTCATGGGGCAATGGTGTTTATTCTGTGGTTTAGAGACTCCATAGTGCAGTTGAGAAAGCAAATGAAGAACAGAAGAGCTGTCTACCACTTCTAAGACATTTGCACAAGTTATTTAAGTATTTAAGAAAAGCCAGATCTTAAGAGTTGGCTTAAATCTGCTTTGCATGTGTCAGCACCTCCACAAAAAAAAATAATTTTAAGGGTTTGCAGATCTCAGTAGTGAAACTCTGCATATTGTTGGGGTATCTGTTTTGCAAAGCAATACAGAGACACCACAAAGCGTGCAGAAACCCACAGAAATTACTCCAAGAGAGAAAGTATCTTACACTGAGAATCTTAAAGAGCTCAGTTGGCTTAATTTCTTAAAAAAAACAATGTGAGAGGCAAGGCAATTACAACACACAAATCTCCTCACAGGGAGGGACTATCAGTTATTAGAGGCCTCTTTAATCTAGCACAGAACTACCTAACCAACCAGTTGTTGGAACCTAAAGGCAAACTGAAAGCAAGGCACCTTCTCCTCCCACACACTCCTTTCTAGTTTGTTTTAATTAAAAAGTGCCAGAAGTAGTGCTTCTTCTTATCTTCAGATCAAGCCTGGCTGCTCTTCCTCTCTGTTACACCTAAATCAAATACATATTCTTAGCACCTACAACTCAGGAGACCCTGT